AGGAGGGTTTAGGAGGGTTTAGGAGGGTTTAGGAGGGCTTAGGAGGGTTTATTAGGGTTTATTAGGGTTTATTAGGGCTTATTGGGGTTTATTAGGGTTTAGGAGGGTTTAGTAGGGTTTAGGAGGGTTTAGTAGGGTTGAGGGTTTAGGGTTTAGGGTTACCGTAAACCCTAATAAACTCTAATAAACCGTAAACCCTAGATAATAAATTATAAATTAAATAAAGAATCAATAAATATATAATGAACAATAGATGATAAACAATACACCATAAGTAAGAAACCCTAAACCCTAAACCCTAAACCCTAAACCCTCCGAGAGCAAAGCAAGAAAGAGAGACAGATGCATGCAACCAAACCCTAAACCCTAAACCCTAAACCCTAAACCCTAGGAGGAGACACCAAGGGAGATATAAAGAGAAAAAGATAGACAGCAAAAAAAGGAGACAGAGAGAAAGAAAAAAACAATAGATAAACTAAAAGAAACGGAAAAAGCAAAAAAAACTAAAATAAAAATAAAAATTAATAATAAACGCAATAAACAAAACAAACAAAGACAGAAAGAAACAAAAAAGAAACAAGAAGAGACAGAAAGAGACAAAAGGAGACAAAAGGAGACAAAAGGAGACAAAAGGAGAGAGAAAGAAACACAAAGAGAAAAAGATAGATAAACAGAGACAAAAAGTAAACAAAAGAGAGAGACAGAGAGAGAGAGAGAGGAGACAGAAAAAGAGACAAAAGGAGACAAAAGGAGAGACAGAAAGAAAAAAAAGAAAACAAAAGGAGACAAAAAGAAAAAACAAAAAGAGACAAAAAGAAAAAACAGAAAAAGACAAAAAAGAGACAAAAAGAGACAAAAAGAGACAAAAGGAGACAAAAAAGAGACAAAAAGAGACAAAAAGAGACAAAAGGAGACAAAAAAGAGACAAAAAGAGACAAAAGGAGACAAAAGGAGACACCAAAATAAAGATAAAAAGAGACAGAAGAAGATAAAAGAAGAGAAAGATGAAGAAAGGAGACAAAAGGAGACAAAAGGAGACAAAAGGAGACAAAAGGAGACAAAAAGAGACAAAAAGGAGACAAAAGGAGACAAAAAAGAGACAAAAAGGAGACAAAAAAAGACACCCAGAGACAGCAAAAAAGAGCCGCAA